ACAATATTTTATTTAATTAATTTGTATAAGAAAATAAAGATTGTGCACTAAATATAAACAATGCCAACCAATTACATATGCAAGTACATACATAGTACATACATGTGAAAATCAAATTTTTTTTTTAGTAATTACTTAAATTTTAGATTTTATTAATTTTTGTAACAAATTGTCTTTCAATTTTAAGATCAAAATTTACAATTACAATTAACTAAATATCTACTTCTAGACTTTCGTATCAGCAAATACAATGCTGAAAAAAAATACATATCATCTTTTATGAAATATGTTAGGGCTAGAACAGTTTTAGGACAGTTATTTAGTTAAATTCATTCTATATGTAATTTAAATATAAAATATTTAATAAATTTAATCACTGTAAATGTTATTATGTTCTAAAATCAATAAAATGTTTATGCTCCAAAAATCTTATGCTCCAAAAATCATTGATGGACCATATTTGTGGCAGAGTACCCATTAAAAATACCGAGTTTCGAAGGTGTATATATGTATAAGTAGTACTGGTAAAACGGTAATATAAAATGTCTGATTTCTAGATTTTCGACAAAATTGTATCCAGTGGAAAAGTTTCATCAACATGCATATACACATAAGTTTTAGAGTATGTAAATGTACATATATACATACATATGTATGAATATCTTTGTTTATGATTATTGCGTTGCAATATTTTACTCATATAATCTTACTTTTGTGTGGGGCAAAATGTAAATTAAACCTTCATTAGCACTGTTCAAATTACATACTAAGTATGGATAAACAAGAGCAAACAGTAACTTAATTTTGTTTGGTTAAATCATTAAAAGTTTAATTATGGCCGGATTTTCCACAGCCAGTAAATTGCTTCAGAGTCATTAATTTTATGTACACACTCACTCACACACTTAAATACGCATACACATGGACGGAGCCGGTTTTGATATTTGTAGGTATAGCTATCCAAACACTGTACCGAATGAATTTTAAAGTAATTACATCGATTTGTACATATGTATGTATTTATGTATATTTTAAATACTAATTATCAGGGAAACCGAAAACATGCTTTAAAAAAAGTGTTTTAAGCGCTTTAAATATGCCGTGAAAAACTCAAAATATGCTCTTAAAATTTAAAATATATGCTCCAAAAATAAAATTTTTAATTATTTTTTAACATTGAAAAGCTCAAAAAGACGGAAATTGTAATGAAATAATAAATGTTTAATAGTTTGAAGAACTAGTTTAATAGAATTCCGTTTTACGTTCAGATAACCAATAAATAACATGAAACCATTTGGTCCCCAAAAAACATATTTCAAACGACAAAGTTTGACACATTTCTTCCAATTGTATTCATAGCTTTTAAACTGACATTTTAATCGGTGTTGTCATAAATTCCAATAATTAGTTTTTTGAACTATAAAAATGGATTGGTCTCATGAAATCAAAAGTAATCGGTTTTATGTCCGATTTAAAATGTAATGCTTTATTGAATAAAAAACTATAACATTGGTTTTCATGAGAGTAATGTATTTTTTGCAGTTTTCAAGTTCTAAAAAAGAAATTTTTATTTCAAAATTGTAAAATAAGCTAAAAAATTAAAAAAAAAATAAAAAATAAAATTTAATTTTTTTTAAATAAGGTTTTGAAAAGAAAATTAAAAATGTACAAAAACGAAAAAAAGCGAAAACATCAAAATATGCACTAAAAGAGTAAAATATGCTCTAAAAACTCGAAAATATGCCTTAAATATGCTAAAAATGTCAAATCATGCAAAATTATGTTCTTATGGGTAAAATATGCAAAAATATGCTCTAACAAATCGATGCCAAAATTCTTAAATTGGTCTGAAACGTGTAAATACCTTATCCATGAGTCCATACGACGCACCACAAAAAAACATGCATTTGCATATTTTGGTTTCCCTGCTAATTATGAACGTGAAAGGATTGTTTTAAATACAAAATTTTAAGTTTACAAGAGATTTTTTAAATAAGCTGATATATACATATGTTTGTAGACATTTCCTGTAAGTAGTAGATATTTTGGACACCTTTGTTGCAATAATATTTTTAAATAATATTTACTAATGCATCTTAGTTTAAATATAACCAAGATTTTTTTATCCCAATATTACATTTGTAACAATTCTAACAAACTTTTGTCATAAAAATTATACTTTAACTCGATACCAAAATATCTCCGTAATACAGAATTTTAATCTATTGACTTATATGTTATGATTCCACTATATATCATAACATGTGAGTCGATAATCTAAAGCGTATTTTTGAAGTATATTAATTTTCATTAATTTTGATCTAAATAATTAGATACTCACCTGATAAAAAAAATTAATTTGGGTTAATCCTAAAAACCAATTATTAGTCCTGTAAACTAAATGCAAATACGATATACTGTTGTGGTATGGATATTTATTTTTAAGAATAATGAAATAAAAGATGAACAATATGATTTATAATAATATGCATATTGTACGCATGTGTTAAAACCGCATTGTTTAAATTTATATTTAATTAATTTTTATGTACATAAAGGATATCACCACAACTGGTTTTTATCAGTAACCACAACCATAGTTAGGATGTATAATGTTGATCTGATGAAATAATACCAACACTATTTAATGCGATCTATTTTGGTAAATACGAGATTACTTTGGTCCGAGGTTAAAAGTAATCTATCATTTTTAATTGAAGCCTTCAGGATACAGTTTAAGTAGAAACATATGCCAAAAAAGTGCTAACTTGAAAGATATATTTAGTTTGTTTAAATTATTAAATATACAAATGATATTAAAATATTAAATATATAAAGGATATTTAATAGGTGTACGTGCTTTTACTCATTTAAGTACTAAAATACTGGCATAACTTAAAAAAGTCGTTTCGAGAACTATTAAAGAAGTCATGAGTTTTGGAATATTAAACACAACATCGATCAAGGTAACGCAAAGCTGACTTGCCACTGATCTTATTTAAGGACAATATGATTCTTCACTTAGAGAAAATTAAATTAAAATTTGGATCACTTTATTGTACATAGATACGAACATACATAATATATTTTTATATAATTAACAAAATATCTTTTGAATTGGCTTTCATACATACTGATTGAAATATTAAACAATAAATATAAAACACTCAGAAACATTACAGCAGCCCTCAAAAAACGATTTCCGTTGAATGAGTATTATTTTGTATCTAAAATAGTCAGAAGCCAAATATCTTAAAGTGGGATACATTCTACTTTTTTGAGAATTAGGTTTACAAAATGCATTCCTTTGTTCCATAAAAATTGTGCTTTCAAAACGGCACCAAACAATTTACTCGAATTTGGTTCTATATAGGCCTTAGTACTCGAATTCCAAAATAATATACCAATAGCTTATTTTGTGTGAGTAAATAAACTACTTTTTCAAATTTTATAAAAATTGGCTCAATGAGTTTTAATAAAATTAAATTTGGCGTTTTTCCCCTTTTTGGTACTTTTTTTCCCCCGGTGAAATAGCAAACATTTTGTTTCAATAAATATTACAGAGTTAGTCCGTAATTTAATAGAAATACTTCAATAAATCGAAAAAGTTTTCTTAATGTGCTAAAAAAGTACCAAAAATACAGTTTTCTCCCTTTTACACCCAAAAAGGACTGAATTTTATAAAAAGTACGAAACGGGTGTCTCCTAATTTTGGGAGATATATTCAAAATATTTACAAGAATGTTATTTTGTTTATTATTTAAATAGTTATAAAGGGCCAAAAAAGGTACCAAAATTACCTTTTTACACATTTTCACCCTTTAAAAGTACGAATTTCAAAAAAGTACCAGAAACCCATCTGCTTATTTTAAGAGTAGATACATGTGCATTTAAAATTTTTCTTGTATCATTAATATTAGGTAAGATAATTAAGAAAACCTGTTTTACCCGTTTTTTCCCTTTTTTTATCCCTAAATGTACAAATTTCCAAAAATCCCTCCTTAGTGGATCTACATAAAAAAAACACATCTACTGTCAAAATTTCATGATTCTAGGTTCAGCCGTTTGGACTGTGCGATGATGAATCAGTCAGCCAGTAACGCTACTCTTTTATATATATAGAAGAAGAAGATAATTTGATTGAGTTGAATCACAAGTTCTCCTATTAGTTTAACAATATTCAACAGTTAATTTTACAAACAAACAAAATAATAAATAGTACAGATTTCAAGGACAGGTTTAATTAAAATACATACAAACATACATACATACATATATACAGACATACATAACATACATACATACATACATACATACATACAATACATACATACATACATACATACATACATACATACATACACATACATACATACATAACATACATACATACATACATACACTACATCATACATACTACATACATACATACATACATACATACTACATACATACATACATACATACATACATACATACATACATACATCATACATACATACATACATACATACATACATACATACATACATACATACATACATACATACATACATACATACAAACTACATACATACTACATACATACATACATACATACATACATACATACTACATACATACATACATACATACATACATACATACATACATACATACATACTACATACATACTACATACATACATACATCATACATACATACATACATACATACATACATACATACATACATACATACATACATACATACATACATACATACATACATACATACTACATACATACATACATACATACATACATACATATAATACGAGTACTTAATTGTGGTTAATTATGAAGGAATTTAAAAAAAATATTGTTAATTAACATGATAAAATATAAACAAACACAACTGCTCTATTTTGTTATCGAAATTAATAATTAATTGGTACAAATTATGTTTTCTATTAATTTTATTGTAATTAATTAATATTTTTTCATTAATTTTTTTTTCAGATAAGGTAATTTTATAAACGATGTCATTCTAAGTGGACCTTTCAGGAATAATTGAACATTTTAAGTGAGTTTTTTTCCATATTGTTTTGTTACATACATATATGTATGTATATTAAATGCCTGCGAACTTTTTATCATTAATTAAAATGCTGAACGTATACATATTTTTTTAAGAAACCACAAGCAACAAATCAATACTGAAAATAGCAATATTACAAAGTTAACAAGTCATTAATCAACAACATTCTCTTATTTCCTAAAGAACCAACATATTGGTAATTTAATTGTTATTGAACAAAGGTCCTAAAGTTTAAAGAATATATTTTTGTTTAATATACAAACTTAAAGCTAAACAAGTAGGAAAATATACATAGTCGAGTATGGCTGTCCATATGATACTCTATACCATTTATGTTTAAAAAAAAATATTTTTTTTATAAAATTGTATTTATGTTAATTTTTATCTTAATTCTGATGTATTAAACACTTCACAATCGCTGTGTATCGTTATATCGTAGTATGTCTTAAAAATATTTCAAATAAATTTTTTTCAATATACTGATGAAGAGCTAGTTTTCTAAAATATGGTTTTTATGGGGCATAGGGTCAAACATGGGTCTATCCTATAGAGGAGGGATTTATGTTTATAAAGAAGTTAGTTATGCTGAAATTCTTTGTGATGCCAAGGGAAAACACTGAAAAGAAACACAAAGTCAAATTGAATTAAAATTCTATCTAACAGTAACTATGTGTATTACTTGTAAAAATCGAAAATAAAAACGCGTGCCAAAATTGTTCATCACCTTACTTTAATTGTACATACCACAAATAACAGTGATGGTGTGGCATAACACAATCATTCCCATCGCTTTCTCTATCTTGAATATCTGTAGCAAATTAAACTCCTGAAATAACAAATGATTTGAAAATCCATTTGTATAAATGCCACCAGCATACTGGGTGTGCGAGTAAAAATATATGTATGTAAGAATGTAAGAAAGTAATCGAAACCGTTCATATTCTATGGCCACTAAATTGAATGCCAATTTAAGTGGCATCCAACAAAAAAGGCAGAGATTAACATTTTATGCGTATAAATGGATGTCAGAACAAAAACTAAAACGAAGAAAAACTCAAAACTGCCATAACACTGCCAATTGGGAATAATGGCCACAATAATAATAACACTAAAAAAGAAATTAATAAATTTATATTGGAAACGGAAAAATTTACAAAACTCAAAAAGAGCTTTAAATGTCCAAAATGGTTGAAGCAATTTAAAGGCATATTAAAAAATAAAAACAATGGACAGTTTGAATGAATGGCCTAATTTGGTTGCAAAGAAACTTTCTAATTTAATGGATGTTGTATTTTACTACAATAGAGAATATGTATAGGCATTTCAATGTTTATTCATGTGGGACTTAAAGAAAATGATCGATTTTTTTTTGAAATTTAAATGTCTCTATTTCACATATACATATACATACGTGCCTACTTACCAATACTAGACTTATGTCTAGAATGTTTATGTGAGTGGTTTTGTATGGCTCTATTTTTTATGTTTCAAAATTCTATTCTTAGACTCGGAAGCTTTAACTGATTGCACACTTCATTAGACAGTGAATCCTTTAAAGCACAACAATTCATCTGTGTTGGTTCATGTTATTTTTGTACACATACATACATAGCTATAAAATTCACATAAACATTCAGAATTTCTGTATTTTTTCTTTCTTTTCTCCATTCAATACATTCATCCTGCACAAAGTTAATGTTTTGTGTTTCCAACTTTGTTTAGTAAAGGGAAAAAATGTAAAAAAAAATAATAATGAAAGTAGGACGTGGTTCTATCATAAAAACGTACGCCCACCCTACACACCATACCCGTTACCGGACTCCCCACCAACACACACACTAACTTGGCACTACAGCTATGTTGTATGTGTATCAATGCCGTCAAATACAGTTATTTAATCTCCCACTTATCATCATTTCCAGCTGCCTTTTATATTCGAACATAAAGAGTACCAAAAAATGCCATTGATGTGTAGAATCTTTGAAATTAAGACATTGATGTTGTTGATTTTAATGTTGAATTTTAGTCATTTTCCGTTGTTCAGTTGCTTAGATGGCTGGCAGCCTGGCTGTATGAATGTTTGATTAGAGACACACTTTTCTTCATGAACCAAATATACACATATATACATATATTTTATTTTGGCTCATTTACTCATTAATACGCGTGCATGCACAAGCATACAAACATAAATATATAAAATTTTATTACGCATATTTATAACCTTTAATGCGATAAGAGAATCTTGATATTAAAACAATCGAAAAGATAAATTACAGAGTAAAATTGTCATAAGAAAATTGTTGCAAATTAAGCAACAGTCCGTCTTAATTGATCCAAAAGTATACATTATTTACACGAAGCTTTTATTGTTATTTATATTTTTGGGAATAAAATTTATTTCCATCATTAACACTGTGTGTGCCCAAAGTCATGCACTTGTTTCAGAATTTTTACTCTCTGAGACAAAGTTGTAGATCTTGTCATAAAGAACAGAAATTGTTAACATATAAAATAAAAAAAAAATCGATTTTTAAGGGTTAAAAATATATGTATTTCAAGTGCTTATCTAGATTAGGCGTATACTCAATATTTGTAATATCAATAAATCATTAACGCTTATACGTACAGGTGTCGTTAATAAAAGTACAATGTAAAACATTTGAAAAATTTGAAAGAGAAAATGATCACTTTTTTGGAAAAATGAAACCTAGTCCCTAAATATTTGGGGGCCCATAAAAAAGGGCACGACTTTAGGCAAAACTGATAGACAAAGGTCTTCTTGGTCTTTTATCACTTAGTGGTGTCCGTATATGGTCATATTTTTTCATGTTGCACTGTGTAATTCACTATCTATAGATAGATCATATAAAATGTTCCCCAATATACTATAGTGGAAAGAAAGCACATGTCATAGTCTATTAAAGTGTTTTAAGGTGGATCCAAAAGTAAACATAGCCCCATAATGGCTTCTTCTGAAAATCACTTACATATCTCATGCGATGCTACCTTCATAATAATGTAAATAACAAGTAAGAGTGCTATATTCGGCTGTGCCGAATCTTATATACCGTTCACCACAGTGTATTTAAAATTTTCCCGTTTATATCATTATTATAGCAATAGCAAAACGAACAACAACAACGCTAAACGAAATAAACACACAAAAAAAGCAAAATACACAAGGCAGTAAAACCAACAGACATCCAAACATACGAAATACACAAAAAACAAAAACAAAATACACAACGCAATGAAACCAACAGACATCCAAACATACGAAACTGAATGCACCAAGAAACAAAAACAATATACACAAGGCAATGAAACACACAGCCATTCAAACATATGAAACGAAATACTCAATGAATAAGCAGTGTTGTTGTTGTTGCGTATATCAAAGAATGAAGCATGTCTAACAGAATTATTGAAGATTTGGATCTCGCCGATATCTAGCGCCCTCTAAAAACTGATTTCAAAAAACACACAGACGGACAGACAGACAAACAGACAGACAGACAGACAGACAGACAGACAGACAGATATAGCTTAATAAACTCCGCTACCTATAAGGATCCAAAATATATATACTTTATGGGGTCGGAAAATTGTATTATAGAAATTACAAAATTACCTTCTCACGAAGGTGAAGGATATAAAAATAAAATTTAACATCTAGAACACTACCGGCTAATACGAAGTGATGGGGCCTAATTTTGATATATTGACTTTTTTTTAATTTATGAACATTTTGTATCAAAATTCAATTATAAATCCATGTAAAATTTTTTTTATTTGCACTTTAATGTATTATATTCTTAAAACATATGAATTCATTCATGATATTTTTTTATGTAATTTCTTTAAGAAATCTTTTTATACTCAGAACTTATATAAATACATATGTATGTGTGTATGGGGTAAAAAATATCCTTAAGGAAAAAGCAAAATTATATTTGTTTATTTTCCTTGCTATGTGAGGCGTTTATATGTACACTAGGGTGGCCCCGTTTGTATGGAGGAAAAATAATGACAATGTTCCCAACTAAACTTAAAGTTTAATTGATTCTAAGATACCATTTCTCAAAATTTTTGTCCTGGCATCAATATTTGATGAGCTGGATCAAAGGATAAAAAGGTCCATTTAGGAGGTTTTTATGATTTTTTCATATTTCTTCCAAAGGAAAGATATGAAATATTGATATCATTAGAAAGGTCCTTGAGAGATGCTTTAAATTCCATATCAGAAATTTTTTTTTGCAACAGTAGTCAAAATTTTCTTATTTTTCGGTAAATTTTCAGATCTTTTGCATTTTCAAACAGATGAATTTAATATAATTCGTAGAAATTAATACATAATAAACATCAATAAAATCTACTGAAACGTTTTTCTTCCGTTTTTCAAAACTCAATCTAGATTGAAGTTTATTTGATTTTATAGACGCTTCCAAAACATTGCAAAATAATGTAAACAACAACATTCAAACCGTTATTAACAAAGCAAGCATAATAAACAAGTAGATGCTTAGGATAAATTGTGTTAATATTTTAGTTAAACTGAAAAAATTTGAACTAAAATAGAATGAAACTATGAAGCCAATGTAAAGCCTTCACCGATGTAAATATTGTGTACGTTCACCGATGTAAATATTGTGTACGTTAGATAAATATAGCTAACAGAATACTGGGGAGAAAATAGAATTAAACATATTTAAATAAAATTCAAAACATATCGAATTTCGGAAAACAGAAAAAATCATTTCACTGAAATTTTATGAGGTTTATAATGAAATAATTTCTATTAATTACATTAAATAATTCTATATAAAATTTGAAAAATTTAAAAACTTTCCGAAAAAATACGACATTTGTAATAATTTTGGAGTTGTATACAAAATTGTGTTATGTCATTGAAATCGTCTCCCA